TATAAATATGTAATATACACATATCACATATAAATATAAATATGTTATATATAACTCATATATAAACAAATAAATTTTTCTTTTAGGTACATAATGAAAAACTTTCCTAAAATTTGTAATAGATATATATCTAAACTATTATCAAGAAAATATCCTTCCTTGAGAATATTCATTATTTAAAAGAAGGAAAGTAAACTAGGTAATCACTTTTCTTAGCACTAGAATTATATTTTTCTCTGTATAGCATTGATAAATGTTGAACAATGCTGAAGTAAACTAAATAATTATTCATAATTTTTGTACAAAGCTACATCAGCACAAAATAGTGCTGGAATAACGCTAAATCACGCGTTATTAGTCGTCGTACCGAGTAGTATCCGGAGGAAAATGACACTGAAATTACACGACCAGCGTCGAGAAGAGGGTTGAGGGCTGATGTGCGCGATTTGTTCGACTGCAATAATACCGCGAAGCGCGATAATATGCTATATTAGTCACGTGCTGCATTCAAGGAAACTGCAATTTCTCTCTTTCTCCTCGCGGTTTATGCGTTACTATGGGCCACACTTACCTACTGATCCATATTACTTGCGGCGATGCTTCATGCCGCTCGCGAGAAATTGAAAGGTCGAGACCTTTCAAAAAAATGCATCCAACCGATCTCTCGTAATTCTTTTAATTTTAAACATCATCAAACAGATAGATTCAGAGAGAGAGAGAGAGAGAGAGAGAGAGGGAGGGAGAAAGAGGAGATGGAAGAAAGGGAGAAATATTGCGTGTCCGTAATAGCGATGTATTTCCGATGGTTCATCTCGATTATTCGCATACATTGTAAATCGTTCGTATCACCGAGTATATACGCGCCGAACTGATTATCGATTTAAGGCTAAAGAGATCAAAGAGATTTCGTCGGAGAGAAACACGTGGTACCTGCGGGCAGGATAGGACGTTACACAGGTGTGCATCGTCGTCACTTAACCGATCGACTTTCACTGGCGGGTCTCTGAACTCTCCGCGGCCTCTCACGAACGTCTCTTCCGGCTCACCCCGAACCGGCCCGCGCTGCGTTCACGTTCGTGAACTTGAAAATTAAACCGGCTGCGTACCGCCGACGAAGTTTCGCGCTTCTCCGGAATTTCACGATAATGATCTGCGGCCGATAATTAAAACTCGACTTATGCGAAATATGCCCCGTTGCGAACGACGGCATGCCGGGCACGCCGTTTTCACGAAACGCGTTGCTACTGTCGTGATTTTTTCCAGCGAATCGTTATTTTTAAACGCGACGATGACACGTTTCCTTCTTCAATTCATTTAAGTAGGAAAGATTGAAAGAGAAGATAACAAAAGACTGAAAAGTGAGATGAGTTGATGCGAGTGTCCTCATTTGGAGGAAGAGTCTATTCTTTTGTTTCGACTGTGACTGTCGTTTATCGTAGTTAAAACGATGATATCTCAAACAACGATAATCGTCAGCAGTAGCTGGTTAACACGGTCGTGCCTAATTTGGATGAGTGCGTGCTTTGATAATTAAGTGATAATTAAATGAAAGTGTTGTCCTAAAAATATACCAGAAACCAGAGAGATTTCGGAGATCTTGAGCTGGGAATTATAATATTTAACAAATCACAAAATGATAAGGATCCAAAAGAGACGAAATCCCTGGTTGTGTCTGCAAAATGTAAATTATCTATTTTGAGATATAAATTCAAGAGATTTGGAAACACTCGAAGACACACGGGAATAAATTCAATAGTGTCGTTACGCAAAAGACGCGATACTTAACGATCTGGGAATTTCTAGATTCGAGAACGCGAGATGAAAGCAGTGCGAGAGCCAAGAAACAAGAAGCACGAAATATGAACATCGAGAAAGTACTAAAAGGAAAAGAAACTGGAGATAAAGACGCGACGACGTGATCAGGCCCAGTCATCGTCCCGAATGTACGAATTCTGCATGCGATGACTCGCGTAATTGGAGCGAACGGAAGTGTCGCGTTATTTTCATGAGTTACTTTTCATGATGTAAATAAAAGTTGCCGTATTAATCTGCCGAGGAACGTGAGAGCTCTGCTGTTTGTCTCTCGACTGGTGACACGCTTTTTTATACGACACTCTCACGTGTCTGTGCAATTAATAAAAAAATAAAGTATTATACGGATTTTTTTCTCAAATGTACAATCAACAAAATAAAAAAAGCCAATGAGATTCGACACAGGATTCAGGTAGTGATTCTATTTATATGCATACAGGAAGATAATACATTGAAGTAAATATTACTTGTTTCACTCTCCCCGAAAAACATTGTAATGGCAAATATAAAATGACAAATATACGACTTGGTATGTAAAATTATAATGTATATCGTTTAATAAACTATTTTGTAGTTATTGCAATTAAAATTTTAGATGCAATAACTACAAAAGTTATGTAAAAGTATATAGAATTATTATATATATATATATATATATATACATATATATATATATATATATATATATATATATATATATATATATATATATAT